TAGAGTTTTTGCACCAAGTATTGTCCTAAATGCTAGCACACAGTCTGAACTAATATGAGGTGGACTAAAGATGTCCCAAAAAGCAGTAACTTCAAAATAGTGATGATATTTAAAAAATTAGATAAGATAATGAGATGTAGTGACTTTGGGGGCTTTATTTTCCTCCCCCCTCCCCCCTCCCCCCAAATAAGCCTTGACAGTGTTTTGCCATTGAAGATTACCATTTCTAATCGTAATTATGTGGAAAAATGATTACATTTAAGCTCCTTGATAATTGGACTGCTGAATACTTTTCTTTGTGAGCTTTTTCTGTTGTGTGGTTCTTCTTGGAGAGGTTTTTTGTGGGGAATAGAGCATTGATTTCTTCCTGACTAGGGAGATCTGTTTCTTGTGGAAATTACTTACGTGGGTTTTTATTTCTCCCATAGAAGAATGGTGTTGGTTTTGTTCTGTACAGAGGAAAACTATTCTTCTGACGTGTTGACATTTTTCCTGCAGCACCTTTGTTGTTGTTGTTTCTGGATCTGGGGCTTGAACTCAGGGCTTGGGTGCTGTCCTGGAGCTTCTTTTTGCTCAAGCACTCTACCCCTTGAGCACAGCTCCACTTCCAGCTGTTTTGGTAGTTTTTTTGGAGATAAGTCTCATAGACTTTACTGCCTGGGGTGGCTTCAAACCATGATCCTCAGATCTCAGCCTCCTGAGTAGCTAGAATTACAAGTGTGAGCCACCAGTGCTGGGCATGTTTATCATATATCAACTGAAGTTTGATCAAAAAACAAAGTAAAAAAGAAGAAAGTAAAGCATGTTATTTTATTTATTATTTTTTTCAAAGATTATCAGTTAAGGTACTTTTTAGGTAAGAAAAAGAAAGCTATTTTCACCAAGAGAGGTAGACTCGTGCCTGTAATCTTAGCTACATGGGGCTGAGGTCTGAGGATTCAGGTTCAAAGCCAGTACTGTCAGGAGAATCCATGAGACTCTTATCTCAAATTAACCACCAGAAAACCAGAAGTGGTGCCAATACTCAAAGTGGTAGAGCATTTCCTTAGCAAAAAAAGCTCAGGGACAGTGCGCAGGCCCTGAGTTCAAGGCCCTCTGACCTTGATAGTTGATCATTTATTATTTAGAATTGATTATTTATAGGGGAGAGAGGGATGAGGGTTTTACAAATGGAAACAAATGGAAATAGTAGCTCTTTGTGCTTAAAATAGCTTGTATTTCCTTATATTCCAATTCTGATTACCTTATGTGGACTTTTTTTTTTTAAAGGAAAGGAGCATAACTTCAAAAGAACATTTGATTCTTCTTTTCGGGACTGCATACAAATTATAAAGCCATCAGAATGTCAGGAGCCTCAGTGAAGGTGGCTGTCCGGGTGAGGCCCTTCAACTCCCGAGAGACCAGCAAGGAGTCCAAGTGCATCATTCAGATGCAGGGCAACTCTACCAGTGAGTACTTGCTGTTTACATGGTCACATCTCACCTCTCTCTCCTCCCGCGTCACCTAGCTCAACCTCCTCTCCTCCCTGCCTCCCTTCTCTTCATGCTGTCAGAGTAAGTGAACCACCTGCACGTTAATGCTTTGAACATTGCTAGTCTGAATGGTCCTTTGAATGTTTTCCCTCTGAGATGTTCAGTGCAGTGCTTAAATATGGAGCATGTTTTCTCTTTGCATTTGAGAATTCCTGAACAACAACAAATTTAGCTAGTGTTAATGTTTAGTAAGTTGATACCTTAATGACAGTAAAGGTGCAAACTCATTCTTTTACTAAATTCTGAAGTGATATATACCTATTAAGGTCCCAAGAGTGATTGTTTTTCTTTCTCAATTTTAAATAGCACCTGAGCTTGCCAGGATGGTCTTAAAACTTACCTTCCTACCTATAGTAGTTGAGTTGACAAAGGGTGTATTGATACATAATAAACTGTCTGGCATGCTGTTGCCTAAAATCCCAGCATTTGGAAGTCTGAGGAAGGAAGATTGTGAGTTCAAGGACAGCCTGGGCTACATAGTGACTTTGAGGCTTGCCTAGGGTGCATAGTGGGACCCTGTCTCAAAAAAACAAAATAGAAAAGTGCAAATGTACATTTGTTTTTGTTTTTTTTTGGGGGGGGGGTCTGGTCGTGGGGCCTGAACTCTAGGCCTGGGCGCTGTCCCTCAGCTCTTCAGCTCAAGGCTAATGCTCTACCACTTGAGCCATGGCACTACTTCCGGTTTTTTTCTTTTTGCTTATGTGGTGCTGAGGAATTGAACCCAGGGCCTCATGCATGCAAGGCAAGTGCTCTACCACTGAGCCACCTCCCCGGCCCTGCAAATGGACATTTGGGAAAGGGCAGGTGTACGGATTTATCAGTGAAAATGGTGTTTAAGCTAGACCTTGAGGAGTGAGTAGGATTTAAGTTAAATATTCAATACACTTAGGAAAAATTTCCAAATTGTAGCTTGTTAAGTTAGTGGTATGGTAGAGCCACATAATGGTACTTTAGACGAACTGGCCATAACACATTGACTTTTGGGACATAAAATGCCAATAGGTATGGTTTGTGACTTTAGTGTCAGTCTGCTGAAAAAATAAAAAGTTCATTAAAGGAATCATCCCTGAAAGTGTAAGGTTAATTATTTTAGCCAAATACCTACTTTATCATTGCTCAAAGGATTTGATTCTTTGGTAGAATATCTGTTCTTAGAATGCAGATAACATTGTATGAGAACGATTTTATCTATCATATGAGAAATCTTCCTCCAGAAATTTTTGTATATGGCCATTTCTTACTTTGACTAGTATGCAATCCTAATAATTTTTTTTTTTTTTTGGGTCCAGTCATGGGGCCTGAACTCTGGGCCTGGGCACTATCCCTCAGCTCTTCAGCTCAAGGCTAGTGCTCTACCACTTGAGCCACAGCGCCACTTCCGGCTTTTTTTCTTTTTGTTTATGTGGAGCTGGGGAATCGAACCCAGAGCCTCAGGCATGCAAGGCAAGCGCTCTACCACTGAGCCACCTTCCCAGCCCCGCAATCCTAATAATTTTAAGTGAGATATTTGTACTAGGATTAGAGAAAGGAATGGCTTAAGAAAACCCATTGGGCCTGGCGCTGGTGGCTCACGCCTGTAATCCTAGCTACTCAGGAGGCTGAGATCTGAGGATCACGGTTCAAAGCCAGCCCGGGCAGGAGAGACCGTGAGACTCCTATCTCCAATAAACCACCAGAAAACCCGAAGTGGCGCTGTAGCTCAAGTGGAAGAGTGCTCGCCTTGAGCTGAAGAGCTGAGGGACAGCGCCCAGGCCCTGAGTTCAAGCCCCACGACCGACAAAAAAAAAAAAAAAAGAAAACCCATTGGGCTTATATTGGGAGTATATACTGAGAAATGAAATGAATATACTATAGCCATGTGTGTTCGCTGCATTAGAAGGCCACTGTAATGGCAGACTGACCCAGAATTCTGCTCACAGGAATGATAGCTGATTGCAGACAGAAGTAAATAAGTGTAAAAAAATACTTAAGGGAATGTATGATGTCTGAAAAACAAGTAGTAGCTGGGTATTGGTCTCAAAGGAAATGATTTTCTATGGCACAAATAGACGTTACAACCTTGACATTTTGGAGTCCTGAGCATATACAAATGGCTTTTTTTGTTTGTTTGTTTTTGTCGGTTATGGGGCTTGAACTCTGGGCCTGGGTGCTGTCCCTACTCTCTTCAGCTCAAGGCAAGCGCTCTACCAATTGAGCCACTGTGCCACTTCCGGTTTTCTAGTGGTTTATTGGAGATAAGAATCTCTTGGACTTTCCTGCCTGGGCTGGCTTTGAACCATGGTCCTCAGATCTCAGATGTGAGCCACTGGTGCCTAGCATTGCAGCTGTTTTTTTTTTTTTTTTATTACATTATAAAGTAGATCCCTGGTATTCATGGACATATGGACTCAAGGAGACTGCTTCAGGAAAAACTGCTTACTCAGAATGCATAGATTCTGGTATAGTACTCTAAAAATATTGAAGTTTACTTACATTTTATGCTCAGTAAATCTGAGCATTCTTAACTTTAAACCATCTAGACTAAGCTCACATTCTGTCACAAAAATTACTTTTGTACACATTGATATTACTCACCAAAAACTAGACCTATTTCATGTTCTTTAACTTTTTTTTTTTTTTTTTTTGTCCGTTGTGGGCTTGAACTCTGGGCTTGGGCGCTGTCCCTGCACACTTCAGCTTAAGACAAGTGCTCTACCACTTAAGCCATAGCACCACTTCCAGTTTTCTAGTGGTTTATTGGAGATAAGAGTCTCACAGACTTTCCTGCCAGGCTTGTTTTGAACTGTGATCTTCAGATCTCAGCCTCCTGACTAGCTAGGATTCAGGTGTCAGCCATTGGTACCGGCTCCATGTTCTTTATCTTAAATTCTGAGGATCTTTGATTCATTTTTTCTCATAACATAACCCAGCTTCCACTGATGATACTTCCTTTCAACAAATCTTAGCTTTTCATCTTAACATTTAAATTAAGCAAATTACCTGCCCTTTATGGCTTAGGAGAATTCTAAATTTTTTTTTTTTGGGGGGTCAGTGATGGGTCTTGAGCTCTGGGCCTGGGCATTGTCCCAGAGCTCTTCAGCTCAAGGCTAGCTCTTTACCACTTGAGCCACAGCACCACTTCCAGTTTTCTGATGGTTTATTGGAGATGAGAGTTTCAGGGACTTTCCTGCCTGGGCTGGCTTTGAACCGCTATCTTCAGATCTTAGCCTCCTGAGTAGTTAGGATTACAGGCGTGAACCACTGGCTCCTGGCTTCTATAATTTTATTTGGGGAGGGGGTGATCCAGTTGTGGGGCCTGAACTCTGGGCCTGGGCACTATCCCTCAGCTCTTCAGCTCAAGGCTAGCGCTCTACCATTTGATCCACAACACCACTTCCAGCTTTTTTCTTTTTGCTTATGTGGTGCTGAGGAATCGAACCCAGGGCCTCATGCATGCAAGGCAAGTACTCTACCACTGAGCCACCTTCCCTGCCCAAACACAGATGTCTTTTTTTTTTTGGGTCCGGTCATGAGGCCTGAACTCTGGGCCTGGGTGCTATCCCTCAGCTCTTCATCTCAAGGCTAGCGCTCTGCTTCTATAATTTTTTAACCTTGCTTTTGGACTCCATTTACATTTGAGAGGGCTATTTTCACTAGAAAGGAAACCTTGAGCAGACCATATAATGATCTGTGTGATCATTTAACATATTTAAACATTACTGACTATAATGTGGACTACCTTTTTGTATCAACTGAGTTGTGTAATTTGCATTTGGGGAATTTAAATTTTTTTTTTTTTGCCAGTTGTGGGGCCTGAACTCTGGGCCTGGGCACTGTCCCTCAGCTCTTCAGCTCAAGGCTAGCGCTCTACCACTTGAGCGATAGCGCCACTTCCAGCTTTTTTCTGCTTATGTGGTGCTGAAGAATCGAACCCAGGGCCTCATGCATGCAAGACAAGCACTCTACCACTGAGCCACCTTCCCAGCCCCGGGAATTTAAATTTTTGTGTTTAGAGCTTGTTATTTGGTAGTATACAGAAGTTTTTCTTTCTTTCTTTCTTTCTTTCTTTCTTTCTT